TCGTGTTCGGCGTAAATGTCGTCGTCGTCCGTCGTCCGTGTTCCGTCGTCCGTCGTCCGTGGTCCGTCCGTCTGTCGTCGTCGTCGTCCGTCGTCCGTTGTCCGTCGTTGTAGTCGGCGCTCTCGTCGTCGTCAGTCGTCGTCTCTCGTCCGTCGTCCGTCGTCCGTTGTCCGTCATCATCGTCGTCGTCGTCGTCGTCGTCGTCCGTTGTCGTCGTCTTCGTTGTCGTCGTCGTCGTTCGTATGCGTCGTCGTCCTCGTCGTCGTCGTCGTCCTTGTCGTGGTCGTCCGTTGTCCGTTTCTGTCTCCCGTCGTCCGTCGCCCGTCGTCCGTCGTCGTCGTCGTCATCGTCCGTCGTCGTCGTCGTCCGTCGTCCGTTGTCCGTCGTCGTCGTCGTTTTGTCGTCGTCGTCGTCGTCGTCCGTCGCACGTTGTCCGTCGTCGTCGTCGTCGTCGTCGTCGTCGTCCGTCGTCCGTCGTCCGTCGTCAGTCGTCCGTCGTCCGTCGTCCGTCGTCGGTCGTCATCGTCGTCGTCGTCGTCGCTTTCGGCGTCGTCGTCCGTTGTCCGTCGTCCTTCGTCCGTCGTCGTCGTCCGTCGTCCTTCCTCCGGCGTCGTCGTCGTCCGTCGTCGTCGTCGTCTTCGTCGTTCGTCGTCGTCGTCGCCGCCGTCGTTCGTCGTCGTCGTCGTCGTTTCTGTCGTCGTCGTCGTCGTTGTCGTCGGTTCCGGCGTCGTCTTTCATCCGTTGTCCGTTATCGTCGTCTGTCGTCCGTCGTCCGTCGTCTGTCGCTCGTTGTCCGTGGTTCGTCGTCCGTCGTTTTCGTCCGTCGTCGTCGTCGTCCTTCGGCGTCGTCGTCGTCGTCGGCGTCTTTTTGGCGTCGTCCGTCGTCGGTCGTCCGTGGTCCGTGTCGTCGTCGTCCCTGTCGTCGTCGTCGTCGTTGATGGCGTCCTCGTCGCTCGTCACCGTCGTCGTCGTCTTCGTCGTCTCTCGTCCGTCGTCCGTTGTCATCGTCTTTTGTGTCGTCGTCGTCGTTTTCGACTTCGTCGTCGTCGTCCGTTGTCCGTCGTCTGTCGTCCGTAGTCTGTCGTCGATCGTCCGTTTTCTGTCGTCCGTCGTCGTCGTCGTTGTCGTCGTCCTTTGGCGTCGTCGTCGTCGTCGGCGTGGTTCTCGGTGTCGTTCGTCGTCGTTGTCATCGTCTTCGTCGTCGTCGTCCGTCATCTGTCGTCCGTCGTCCGTCGTCCGTCGTCCGTCGTCCGTCGTCTGTCGTTCGTCGTCCGTCGTCCGTCGTCGTCGTCGTCGTCGTCGTCGACGTCGTGGTCGTCGTCGTCGTGGTGGTCGTCGTCGTCGTTGTCGTCTTTCGGCGTCGTCGTCGTCGTGGGCGTCGTTTTCGGCGTCGTCCGTCCGTCGCCCATGTCCATCGTCGTCGTCGTCGTCGTCCTCGTCCTTGTCGTCGTCGTCGTCTTTTGGCGTCGTTGTCGTCCGTCGCCCGTCGTCCGTCGACTGTCCTACATCGTCCGTCGTCCGTCGTCCCTCCTCGTCGTCGTCGGCGTCGTCGTCGTCTTTTTCAACATCGTCGTCGTCGTCCGTTGTCCGTCGTCGTTGTCGTCGTCGTCCGTCGTCCTTCGTCCGTCGTCTGTCGTTCGTCGTCCTTCGGCGTCGTCGTCGTCGTCCGCAGGGTTTTCGGCGTCGTCCGTCGTCGTCGTCGTCGTCGTCGTCGTCTTCGTCGTCCGTCGTCCGTCGTCCGTCGTCCGTCGTGGTGGTCCGTCGTCCGTCGTCGTCGTCGTCGTCGTCCGTCGTCCGTTGTCCGTCGTCGTCGTTCGTCGTCCGTCGTCTGTCGTCTGTCGTTCGTCGTCCGTCTTCGTTGTCGTCGTCGTCCGTCGTCGTCGTCGGCGTCGTCAGCGTCGTTCTCGGCGTCGTTTTCGGCGTCGCCGTCATTGTCCGCTGTCCGTCGTCCGCCGTCCGCCGTCCGCCGGCCGCCGTCCGTTGTCCGTCGTCGCCGTCTGTCGTTTGTCGTCGTCGTCGTCGTCGTCGTCGTCGTCGTCGTCGTATTCGTCGTCCGTCGTCGTAGTCTTCGTCGTCGTCGTCGTTGTTGTCGTCGTCGTCGTCGCCGTCGCCGTCGTCCTTCCTTTTCGTCGTCGTCGTCGTCCGACGTCGTCGTCGTCGTCGTCGTCGTCGTTCGTCGTCCGTGTTGCGTTGTCCGTCGTCGTCGTCCGTCGTCATTCGTCCGTTGTCTGTCGTCCATCGTCCGTCGTCGTTGTCGTCGTCGTCGTCGTCGTCCCTCGTCCGTTGTCCGTCGTCGTCGTCCGTCGCCCGTCGACTGTCGTTCGTCGTCCGTCGTCGTCGTCGTCGTCGTCATCCTCGTTGACTTCCTTCGTCGTCGTCGTAGTCGTCGTCGTCGACTTCGTTTTTGGCGGCGTCGTCGTCGTCCGTCGTCGGAGGTCTGCCGTCTGTCGTTCGGAACCCGTCGTCGTCGTCGTCGTCGTCGTCGTCGACGTCCTTCGTCGTCGTCGTTGTCGTCGTCGTCGTCGTCGGCGTCGTTTTCGGCGTCGTTGTCGTCGTCGTTGTCGTCGGTCGTCAGCTGTCTCTCGTCGTCGTACGTCGTCCGTCGTCCGTCGTTCGTCATCCGTCGTCGTCGTCGTCCTCGTCGTTGTCGTCGTTGTCAACGTCGTCGGCGTCGTTCTGGGCGTCGTCGTCGTGGTTGTCGTCGTCCGTCGTCGTCCTTGTCCTTCGTCGTCGTCATCGTTGTCGTCGTCCGTCGTCCGCCGTCCGTCGTCTGTCGTTCGTCGCCCGTCGTCGTCGCCGTCCTTCGTCGTCATCGTCGTCGATGGAGTCGTTTTCGGCGTCGTCGTCGTCATCCTGGGCCTCGTCCGTCGTCCGCTGTTCATCGTCCGTCGTCCGAAGTCGTCGTCGTCGTCCGTCGTCTGTCGTTCGTCGCCCGTCGTCGTCGTCGTCGTCGTCGTCCGTCATCCGTCGTCCGTCGTCTGTTGTTCGTCGTCGTCCTTCGTTGTCTTTGTCGTCGTCGTCGGCGTTATTATCGGCGTCGTCGTCGGTGTCGTAGTCCGTCGATTGTTGTCCGTCGTCGTCGTCCGTCGTCCGTCGTCTGTCATCCGTCGTCCCCCGTCGTCGTCGACGTCCTTTGTCGTTGTTGTCGTCGTCGTCGGCGTCGTTTTTCGACGGCGTCGTCGTCGTCTCCCGTTGCCTGTCATCGTCGACGTCGTCGTCGTCCTTCGTCGTCCTTGACGTCGTGGTCGGCGTCGGTTTCGACGTCGTCGTCGTCCTCGTCGTCGTCCGTCGTCGTCGTCAGTCGTCCGTCGTCCGTCGTCGTCGTCGTAATCCGTCGTAGTCGTCGTCGTTGTTTGCGTCGTTTTCGCCGTCGTTCGTCGTCGTTGCCGTCGTCATCGTGGTCGTCGTCGTCGTCGTCCTTTGTCGTCGTTGTCGTCGCCGTCTGCGCCGGATTCGGCATCGTTGTCGTCGTCATCGTAGTCGTCGTCGCCCGTCCTCCATCGTCCGTCGTCCGTCGTCGTCGTCGTCATTCGTCGTCGTCGTCATCTTTCGGCGTCAGCGTCGTCGTCGGCGTCGGTTTCGGCGTTTTCCGTCGTCGTCCGTCGTCGTCGTCGTCGTCGTCGTCGTCGTCGTCGTCGTCGTCGTCGTCGTCGTCGTCCGTCGTCCGTCGTCCGTCGTTGTCGTCTGGCATCCGTCGTTCGTTCTCGTCGTCCGTCGTCCTACGTCGTCGTTTTCGGCGTCGTCGTCGTTGTCGTCGTCGTCGGCGTCGTTTTCGGCATCGTTGTCGTCGTCGTCGTAGTCGTCGTCGTCGTCCGTCGTCCGTCGTCCGTTTTCGGTCGTCCGTTGTCGGCGTCGTCATCCTTCGTCGTCGTTGTCGTCCTTCGGCGTTGT